GGGGGGGGGGGGGGGGGGTGTTGGGAGTTACTTGCGCGGACGACGCTTGTCGGCTTTGGCCATGCTGGTGACGCCGTGGCCGTTGGTGGCAAAGTGCACGGCCTTGCGCGAGTTGACCAGCTGGGCGTCGCCCTGACCGGGTGCATTCGCGCGCTTGCGCATGCTCGACGTGCCGAGCTTGTTGAGCAGCGCGAGGTTGTTCTCGCGTTCCGCCGCGGCGTCCTTTTCGTTGGCATCGAACTTGCGCTTGATCCCCTTGGCTTTCGACTCGCCCTTGAGCGTCTTGTCGAACCTTCCCATGGACGCGGTGCTTGCACGCGACCTGAGCACATCCGCCTCAAGTTCCGCCTTGCGTCGCTCGCGCTGTGCGGCCCTTGCGAGCTTGGCGGCATTCGCATCGCCCAGGCCACCCTTGGAAGAAGAGGCGGTGGCGGAGGCCGAAGCGGCAGCAGCACGAGCAACGTTCTTCTGGTGCTGCGACTCGTTCTTGGCCTGCTTGGCGAGGCGATCCTTCTTGGCCGTCTTGGCCGGGTCGAGGTCGGTGTTGCCGTTGTTCTTGAGTTCGTGGATCCACTGCTCCTCGAGGTCCTTGTTGGCACCCTTGTAGCCCCAGCGCGGCACCCACTCGCCGGTGGCCTCGTCGTAGATCATCTTGTCCTTCTTGCGCGATTGGATGCCCTTCTGCTTGGCGAACTTCTCCCACTTGGTCAGCGGCTTGGGCTTGGGCATGCTCTTCTCGCGCGGCAGACGCGATGCAAACGCCGGCAGCGCTGCCAGCGGACCGTACTCGGCATCGCGCGTCACGGGCAGCACAAAGATCCGGTTGATCAGCGACTGCACACCATCCCGAGCACGCGCGCGGAGAGCGTCGGCAGACGTAGAGCTGACCGGGTTCGGGTTGATCGAGGTGAGCAGACCGAGGTCGAACTGGAACGGTGTGGCACCCTCGTCGACGGTGGTGGGCTTGTATTTGGACGAGGAGGCGGCAGCGAGCGCAGTGCCGTCGAGCGATGTGGTGGCGTCAGCGACCACGGTGGTAGGCATGTTGTCTGTGTTCCTCCTTGGATGCTGGTGGGAGAAGTAGCTGAGTTGGTGGTGGTGGTGGTAATAATGCCGTACGATGCACAGAAGGCTCAGCTGAAGCGCAGTGGAAGAAGGCGGCGAAATCTGGCAATTTTTCGCAAGAATTTCCGCGTCGCTCGGTTGGCGCGGGGTGGAAAAATTTCATCGCGATAGCCTCGCGCCCCGATCCTCTGCCTCGGCCTCTGCGCATCGGCGTGGGCATGTGGAGCAAAGGCAGCTCTTTCGATGCACAGACCGTTGTTGGACCCTGACCGCATTCCTCTTGCACCTCACCATCACGCATCGGCAACGCAGCATGCCCGCGCACAGACTGAGCGCACTCGGCGTCGACACCATCTCGATCGGATTCTACCCGGACGAGGGCGATGCAGGCGGCACCAAAACATACCTCTCGCACCTCAATGCCGCGCTTTCGTCAAACTGGCCCTCACCGCACCGCGCGCCGGTGATCAACGTCGTAGGATGGTACGCTCAAACCTACCCGGGCGAGGAGTTCACCGGGTCGCAGTTGATGCCTCTTGTGCAGGATATCAAGGCGGAGTATGTGCGATGCGGTGGGGCGGTGCGGATGGTGTACGAAGCGTCGGTGATGCCGTTCCAGTCGTGGACGGGCTATACGCGCGACAACCCGCGCAAGGCACAGGAGGTGGCGAGGGTCATGCAGGCTCTCCTGGACGCAAGCAGCATCGATGACGACTTTGCGATTGCAGAAATAAGGCTGCGATTCGGACACGAGGTCAACTACTACACACGCTCGGGGCTCTACCCTCCTCCGACTGGTGTAGACCAAGGGGCGGACTTTAGGGAGGCGTTTGACCAAGTCGCGCTTGCATGCCGTGCACTTCCAGGGCACTACTCGCGGCGAATCAAGATGTTCTGGTGCCCCAATATCGCCTCGACAGCCTCGCGGGCCATGGCAGAGTACGAGCGGTTCCAGCCCACGATGGAGTACGTCGGCTATGTGGGGATCGACTACTACTGCCCCGCGCCGGGGTGTCTGGATGCAGCCGACTTTGTGCGCAAGATGAAACCGTTGCACGACAAGTACGCCTCCCGCAACAGGCCGTTTATACTCGGAGAAACGGGACTCCACTTCGACGCGAACGAGGGTGCGGGGACACAGGCAAAGCTCAAGTGGCTCCGTGTCGTCACCGGCAGGGAGGCGCGCAGCAAGTTGCCCCACCTCAGCGGCGTGAGCTGGTTCAACTATGAGAAGGATCGGGACTATCGGTTGATCTACGTTGGCCCAACCGAGGCGGCCGAAACGGCAGCCTTTGCGCAGTGGCTGTACGAGCGCATGGCGGAAGAAGACAAGACAGAGAAGAGGGGAGGTAAGGTGAAGAAGTTGTGGAAGACGTTGATGGCGGGGTAGAATTGCATTGCATGCTGGCGTCTATGCGGACTTGGTGCGCTTGGCGCGTGTGGTGGGGGAGAGCGAGTTGGAAACGTGGCTTTTCACCGTTGCGACTGCATCGACCAAGCGAGGGGCGGCGACTAGTGCGAGAGCATGCACGACGGCAAGCATGGCGAATGCCACATAGAACGCAATCGTCACAGGCAAACTGAGAACCTTCCACCTGGCTACATTGTCGACGGTCTCTGCGAGGATGCAGCCCCACTGCTTGGTTGAGGGCACGGCGCGTTCCGCATGCCTCACGTCGAACGGCAGATACACGCCCTGGATCGCAGCAGCAGCGCGCAGGCCCGACGCAAACCCGTCCTCGTGGAATCCGTACTTGGTCCACGCACCCACAAAGAACGCCCCCTGGCCGCCCTGCAGCTGCTGCAGCTCGTGTTGGGCAGCGACCGAGTCCGGCGTGTAGATCGGGTGCGAGTAAGTCTGGCGCCGCACGACCAGTTCGGGACGCGGCGTGTAGGGCGACTCGGGCTCCGTGCTGGGGTTGAGCGTCACCAGCACCGGCCCAAACTTGGCCTCGGGCAGCGACTGGAGAAGGTTCATCCAGTACGTCAGCGAGACACGGTCCACGTCCCCACCCCGCTGCGTTTCGGCGAGGAAGTTCCAGGCGGACCAAGCCGCACGACGAACAGGCATGAGGCGCGTATCCGCATGCAGCACCGCCGTGTTGTGGCTGAATCCAAACCGATCCAACACCGCCAGAGTGTCCGCCAGCGAAGAGGACGAGTGGCGCAGACCGGAGCGCAGCATGGATGCGGTCTGATCGGCGTGCGTGGCAAAGATGACACGGTCAAAGTTGGAGTGATGCTGTCCGTCGGCCGTTTCGATGGTCCATTTGCCCTTGTGGTCGATCCAAGCTGCCTGGACGGCACCCTTGTGTGGGCCCTGATGAACGCGGTGCGCGTCGAGCTTGGAGACGATGCGGTCGACGTAGGAGCGCGAGCCGTTCTTGATGGTGAGCCACTGGGGCCTGTCCAAGATCTGGAGCAGGTGGTGGTTGTGCATGAAGCGCAGCAGGGTCAGTGCGGGGAACGACGCCAGGGCGGTTTCGGGTGCGGTGCTCCAGATGCTGGCCGTCATGGGGATGAGGTAGTTGGTGCGGAAGCCGCGCGAGTAGTGGCGGGCATCGAGCCAGGCGCCGATGCTGATCTCCTTGCCCGTCTGCGGCGCGCGCAGGTAGTCGACGGCCTGCTGGTTGAAGCGGATAATGTCCCACACCATGCGCCAGTGCGACGGATTCAGCAGGTTGGTCGGCTGGCAGAAGAGGGCAGCGGGGGAACCGCCCGCCCATTCGAATGCCCCGTAGGCGCGTGCGTGCCGCGTCACGCTGAACGACATGTCGCTGTCCAGGATCTCCACCCCCGTGAGCTGGAGGAAGCGCAGCAGGTTCGGATACGTCACGCGGTTGAATACGATGAACCCCGTATCGACGCGTGTGGACGGCGCCGACGCAGAAGAGGCCGAGGTGGGAGGCGTAAAGGTCACCGTGTTGGCGTGACCTCCCAGCCAGGAGAGAGGCTCGAAGAGCGAGACCGAGTGCGACGAGTACTCGTTCAACCCCCATACTGCGGCCAGGCCGGACACGCCCGCGCCCACCACGGCGACTCGCAATGACTCGTCCATATCGTACAAGAAGAGGCAGAGGTGATGGTGGAGTGAGGGAAGGAGCAAGGTTGCATGCAGAGCACAGCAACCCCCCGGATCGACGCGTGCCCAACTGCCGCCAAAAGGGTCCACGTGAAATCGCGTTACCCAATCTCCATCCTCCGCGGCTTTTTGCATGCGATTCTGGTTTCGACAGCCGGGGGG